AAATAGTTATTTTTTTATATATATTTTAGGGGTTTTTGTGTATAAGTCCCCAACCAAGCATGTTTATTATTCTAGGTTTAGGGGCTATATCTCTTTCACCAATAAGCTCATTCATTTAATATTTATTATAAATAAAGGGAACATTCATGTATATGCCAATATTACCCTCAACCATTTATACCAAATTCTTAATTGTAACCCCAATTTAATCAATTTTGTCCACAAAAATCCAATTTTGACCACAAAAATTCAATTTTGACTTTTTTTTGGAGCATAATTTAATATGCTCCAATTTCATCATTAATTTAATTTAATCTCAATTTGACCCCAACTTTCACTAATTATTCAATTCTGACCCAAAAAAAAAAAATTCAAAAAAAAAAATTTTTGCCGCCGGATTCCGGCGTTGACTTTTCAAAAAACTTATTTTATTTTTTTTTTCTTTCGGATTTTTTCGCCGGTTTGCGGCATTGATTTTTTTTTTTTTTTTTCTTTTTTCTTTTATTTTCTTCCGGATTTTTTCGCCGGTTTTCGGCGTTGACTTTTTTTAGTGTTTTTTTAATTTTTTTTTTTTGTTTAGTTTTTTTTTTTTTTTTTTACGTCCACCGCTAAACGTTGACCGTAATTGTGCTGTCACTGACAGTAAATTAACGTAATTATACTCTCAATGACATTTAATTAACGCAATTGTACTGCCGTTGACAATACATTTATGTAATTGTGCTGCCGTTGATAGTAAATTAATGTAATATTATTATTTTTTTTTTGTTTTTTTTTTGTTTGATTTGTTGACAAGTCAACGTAATTCTATTACTGTCGTTGACAGTAAAATAACTGTAAACACAATAATATTATTGTCAACAACATCAATATTATTATTTTTTTGGGTTTTTTGTTTTGTTTGAGTTATTCACGGAGTAACGTAATAATATTACTGTCTATTATTGTAATTATATTACTGTAAACACAATAATATTACTGTGGTTGACGGTAATATTATTGTTGTTATAGTAATATTGTTGTTCACCACATCAATATTATTATTTTGTTTTGATTTTTTGTTTGTTTGAGTTATTCACGGAGTAACGTAATAATATTACTGTCTATTATTCTAATATTACTGTGGTTGACGGTAATATTACTGTTATTATAGTAATATTACTGTCACTCACAGTAATATTAATTCTTTTGGTTTTTTATTATGTTTACATTTGTTGAACGGTCAACATAGTAATATTACTCTATTACACAATAATAATGAGTTTTGTTGTGTTAATATTATTGTGCTAGAGATTAATATAGCAATATTACTGTGTTAAACTGTAGTTTAGTTAATCTTACTGTGTTTAACAGTAATATAGTTAATATTACTGTCAATCACAGCAATATTGTTGTTTAAACGAAAAAAAAAAGTTACAGAAAGAAAGAAAAGAAAAAAAATCGAAAAAGTCAACACCGGAAACCGGCGAGAAAATCCGGAAGAAAAAAAAATTGAAAAGTCAACGCCGGTAATCCGGCGGGAAAAAAAAGTTTTTGGAAAAAATAAAATTTGAGAAAAAAAATTTTGGGTCAAAATTGAATAATTTGTGAAATTTGGGGTTAAATTAAAGTTAAATAAAGTTAAGGACGAAATTTGAGCATATTAAAGTATGAGGGGTTATTTTAGTCCTTTATAAAAATCTGGACCATTTGTGGACTTATTGGTAAATGAGTTTTTTGTTTGAATCTCTTTATGAATAATTACATATTGATGGACTTCTTTGTAATAACTCCTATATTTTAACTATCAGATTGCATAAAATCTTTAATAAATAGTTCTAATATAATATTATGAAGTTTATTTTACGGTTGTGCCACTGTAATTTGAATATCAATATATTTAAGTTTTGAGCCAATTTTTTCGAATAATAAATAAAATTAAAACATAAGGAGAACATACATTGGGAGAAATGGTGTGATTGGGAGGAATAACGTTGAGTACGTATAGGATGAAAGAAAATGTATAATATGGTGTTTGGAATATATTTGTAAAATAATAAATAAATAAAAAATATTTAAAAAAAAAAAACAGACAACTGTCTGGATCAAGTCCAACGTGTTAGTAAAATTGTATTTTCGAAGAATATTTCAAAATAAAATGATGTTTTTTTTTGTATATTATTGAACATATTTTTTACTTGTCACAGTCAACACATTTTTTAATACGAGAAAAAAATAAGAACAATTTGGAGATTTTAAATTGGGGAAACTACAGATAAATCCCTAATCCAAAACTCAAAACACAGATCAGTCTCTAGGTAGTTTCCCCAAGCAAATCAGTCTCTACTCACGCGCCTAACATGCAGATCAGTCCCTAACAAAATGTGCAAATACTAAAATACCCTTTACTTTATACTAATTTTACATAACTTCTTTTCAACTTCCAACGCGCCGTTTGTGTTACACGCTCTTTGCCCGTTACATTTCAAAAATTAAACAACAAGAAAGAAGCTAAAAAGGCGCAGAAAAAAACCACCGTTCAGTTTATACCCATTTTCAGACAAAGAAGAAACAGAGAAGAAACGAAGAACAAAGAAACAACAAAGAAGGAAGAAACAACGAAGCACGAAGAATCAACAAAACGCAGAAAAATAATAAAGCGAAAGGAAAAATAAAAATAAACAAACCCATTTCTAGACAATGGTGAAGCAGGGTAAACAACAAGGTTTGATTTTTTTTTTTTTTTTCATTTTCTTGGAAACAGACCCATTTGAGTGTTGCTTAAACTTGCAAAAAGGTTTATTTGTTGTAGAATTGCATGATTTTGAACATATCAACTCATGGGTATTATGCCTCGACTTTATTTGGTTTCCCCTAATCATTAAATCGGTTCCAATATCTGTTGTTCTGTTGTTTGGGTTTGCAAAGATCATTTATTTGTTGTCGAATTTCATGATTTTGTAACAGTTTTCTCATGGGTATTATTCTTCGGTGACATTAGCATATCCCCAAAGCATTTTGAGTCCTAATAAGGGTTTCATATAGGATATGGGAAAGAGGCTTATTGTATTTTTCGTACTGGTTGTATAGTATGTGTCATGCGCAGTAATGGTATTAATAGTGCATTTAGATGGTATTGACACAGGGTACTCGAAGTACTGTCCCGAAAGCATTTAGTCCTAACAAGGGTATATGTCATATGTAATAATGGTATTCCTCTTGACTTCGGACGGTATTAACACAGGGTACTGGAAGTATAATCTTTGATGGTTCTGTAGTATGTGTCATATGCCACAATAGTATTGCTAGTGCCTTTGAATGACATTGCTAGTGACTTTGGATGGTATTGACACATGGTACTGGAAGTATAAGTTTGATGGTTCTGTAGTATGTGTCATATGCCACAATAGTATTACTAGTGCCTTTGAATGGCATTGCTAGTGACTTTGGATGGTATTGACACATGGTACTGTAAGTATAAGTTTGATGGTTCTGTAGTATGTGTCATATGCCACAATAGTATTACTAGTGCCTTTGAATGACATTGCTAGTGACTTTGGATGGTATTGACACATGGTACTGGAAGTATAATGTTTGATGGTCCTGTAGTATGTGCCATATGCCACAATAGTATTGCTAGTGCCGTTTAATGGTATTGCTAGTGCATTCGAATAGTATCGACAAAGGGTACTGGAAGTATAATGTTTGATTGTAATGTAG